GTGGCGATCTGCTCATCTCTCATCGAAATAATAAGCTACAAAGGGGCGGACTGGCCATCTGTGTTGAACTTTCCTGTCGGCTCCCAGACCGTAGTCGACGAGGGCAGAAGCAACAAGCTTCAGGTTCAATAACCCACTTTAGCTTAAATGACTGGAGAGAGGCGAGCTCTTCTTGGGAGGCCGTTGCATTTATTTTGCTGTTCTTCTGTTTCACAAAATACATCACAGACCTCTGTTTTTCTGCTTCCCCGTTTCACTTCCAGAAACATACACGTTCCCTCACTGTCGCTCTACCATCCACAAACACACATGCACAAGCCACACACCCCTCGCTCTCTCTCTCTCTCTCTCTCTCTCTCTCTCTCTCTTTAAAAGGGACAGCGATCTCATCTCACTCTGCATGACCCGTGCTCTGGAGAATCACAGAACGGACGATCGTCCTTATTATTATACCGTTTAAACCAGGGGTCGGCAACCCCTGGCACGCGTGCCAGCATTGGCACGCGGCACCGTAACCAGTGGCACACTAGGAATAAGTGGAATAAGTGTGCAAAATATTTAAATTGTATTTTCGGATCCTGAACGAGACCGCCGCCAGAGCGCGTCTCCCCGTTACCTGCAGAAGGAAGCCATGCACGCAACGCAGCCCCGCTCTCTTTATCTCCAGGTGACTTTCTGCCGCTTTCCTCCGTGGTGCAGTGCTGATCGTTTCACCACGGAGGAAAGCACTTCTCTAATTGCAGTACCCATAAGGAGCTGTACAAATGCCGCAGTTTTTGCGTGGCTGTGTATTTAGTTGAAAGCCCAGTGGCGATCAGCTCATTTCTCATCGAAATAATATGCTACAAAGGGGCGGGGTGCGGACTGGCCATCTGAGTGTTGAACTTTCCTGTCGGCTCCCAGACCGTAGTCGAGGAGGGCAGAAGCAACAAGCTTCAGGTTCAATAACCCACTTTAGCTTAAATGCCTGGAGAGAGGCGAGCTCTTCTTGGGAGGCCGTTGCATTTATTTAGCTGTTCTTCTGTTTCACAAAATACATCACAGACCTCTGCTTTTCTGCTTTCCCGTTTCATCTTCAGAACATACACACACGCTTCCCTTCCGACTGCATCGCTGCGTTACCAATTCACAAACTACACGATGCCGACAAGCCCGACACCCCGTCTCTCTTCTCTTCTTAAAAGGGACGCAGCCCGACCGGCTCCCCCGCCCTCCTGCTGATAGTTGACGAGCGTCAAGCTCCCTCAACCCCCCCCCCCCCCCCACCGTTGATAATTCTCGATCGTTGGCACGCTGATAAAAAAATTTTTTTTAAATGGCACTTCATATCAAAAAGGTTGCCGACCCCTGATCTATAACATCTGTAAGCAGTACGAGTTATTTCAGAGTCTTAGCTTCACTGTGTGCGCGGCTGTATGCAATTGTGAGGATAAAGAGAGGATTCTATCCAGAACAGCGTGAATGCTTAGTTCCTTCTGTATTTAAACCAACGCCCCAGAAAATGCGCCCTAGACAATGAAGCAAATTCCCCAGAGGCCAAACGGTGGTACTACAACTTCCGTGTCAGACTGGACGTCATTGGGCCTAAAAATACTTCAAGAGATGTCTGTAAATCAGCGTGTCATTTTTTGAAAACTAAATAATCCCTTTACATCCCTTATTTAAATCATTAGACTCTAAAAGTTGTAAAATCCAGAGTTATTTTCCCTCCACATTCACCCGAGAGCGGGTGATGGGAGGCGGGGCTTAAGGAAAACCCAGATGAGGACTCTCTATGGGCCCAGATAACGGTTCTTTTGCTCTCGAGAGTCAGGCCATTTTGTCTTCATGCGCCACTGAGCTACTATGATGGTCCTAAACGTAGTCCTAAACGTAGTCCCGCCTCCGACGCTGTATCCAGTTCTCTTTATACATCATGATTCAAACTTGTTTTATTGTGTCCCTAGGTTCCTGTTGACGGACCAGGACTCTACTCGGGCCCCGTCTTCACTGCTGCCTCCACCGGCCCCCTGTTCTCCACATAGACACACAGAGGAGTTATTCTCTCTTCAGTTGTGGGACAGAAAGTGTTTTTTAAATCACACTTCAACCCGGTCCATCATCTCCTCACTCGTGACTTATTTATACAGTATTCTAATTCCTACAGTATTGCTCTCAGCCCAGGACACTTGAGAACTGGCTTCAGAGTAGATTTCTACAAAATGTACATTTCATCATCAGGTTCTTTACTGACAGGAGTGCTAATGTATATATACGGAGTCTCCATTAATTAAAGTGGAGGCATGTATCTATGTAAGTATGTATGATAACATGTATGATACTGTAGCATATGAACTGACTGAGACCTGAGTCTCGCTAAGCTGGGCTGTTTCTCTGTTACAGACTGTATTTATCTGTGGCCTCCTAAAAACATGTTTGTCTTACCAGAGGCTTTAACATTTTATGGAACTAACCTCTAAAGCAGAATAAAGATTATATTTATGTAATGTAGTAGAGGAAGCCACATCGTGCTTTTTCATGTATTGAATGTCATTTAAGCTGTTCAGTGTCACCAAAGCCCCCCCCCCGCCCCCCACACCATATATGAGACCGTGACAGGTGCTGACTAATGTTCTGCTCTTCGGTTGGATTAAAAGACATGGTTTTCCCAGGAAGCATGGATAAAGAATTTGTGAAGATGTTCCCCACAGACCATGTGACCAACCCACGGGAGTCTTATGACCTTGAACTCATCTCTCCATGTTCCCCCTGCAAACACTGCCAGTGATACTGCTGCTGAACACTATTCTACCTGCTCCCCCAGCATTTACTCTGACAAATCGGGTCAGTTCAGACATTTACAGTATAATGTTGTACAACTTGCAGTAAGAACATTTGTTTTATATTCTGAGCGCTCATGAACAAGTGTACCTCACCAAGGTCTACTGAAGATCCTCTGTAAAGGTCCTGTACGGAGGATCTGCTAGCAGAAATACAATTCCGTTTTCATGACAGTGCTTTTATCCATGTGTAATTTTTACATTTTAGATTTGTTTATTCAAAGTGGCTTTGAGCAGTTTGCTCAGGATCAGTATCTTGCACAGGGACATGTTGACTCTGATTAGTAGTATTTACCATTTATAATATTATCTTAAACCTTAATATATGTATATAATTAGCTGACCTTTCCCTTGAGTCCACTGAGGAACCGACAGGATCCTGAGGGCCACCGTAGTTAATCTTCTGTCCTGAGAGGGAGGGGGACAGGGCAGGATATTTTGTTGAATGTTGCTGCTTCAGTGTGCAGGTCACAGAACAAGATGCATTGTGGGACCTGTAGTTTATGGGAACCATGCAGGATTTAACATTAACTTATTGTATTTTTGCCAGCTCCCTCAGGCCACATGAAATCAGGTGTATGTTTGACACCCCTGCTCTGAACACTACAAATGATTTTGTCGTTATTGTCAACAAAGACCAAAGCCAACAGAAAACTGAGCCTAATAACAATTATTGAGTGAACATCTAAAGCCGGAGTGGAGCTCACGGAGTCATGTCCCCTTACATAATGGCTATTATTATATTACGTCGTTATGACAGTGTATGTAAGATGCAGATTTGACCTTTTAGTCCCTCACTACAGAGTCTTAAGATTTGTATGCTCAATTAGCAAAAGTGCAAGGGCGCTTTTCTGATATTGTTGATTGTAATACGGTACCTGACACAACCTTTCATATGAATAAAGATTTCATGCAACTCATTGTATTAATTCTAAATAGATTTGTTTCAGAAGCAAGAGCTGTGTCCGGGATCTTCTGAAGGCTCACCAGTCTTCGCTTTGTTCCCAATCCTGTTTGTGATATTCATGGACAGGATCTCAAGGGGTAGTTGTGGTGAGGGGGTCTGCAGGTTATTGGTTAAGGAATGCTTCGCTGTGACCTTCAGAACTCATTGGGTTGGTTTGCAGAGTGTAAAGCTACTGGGATGAGGATCATCACCTCCAAATCTGAGGCCATGGTTCTCAGCAGGAAACCGATGGACTGTCCACTGAGCCAGAAGGAAAAGCTCTGAATCCATCGGTCCAGCTTCATCCTCTATATTGTCATGAAGGAAAGAACAAGACCGTGGATGCAAGCGGCCGATATGGGTTTTCTCCGGTGGGTGGCTGGCATGGTAAGGTAAGAAGTTCAGCCTTCAGGGAGGGACTCTGGGTAGAGCTCCTTTGCGTATAAAAAGCTAGTTGAGGTGATTTCGGCACAACCAGGAAACTCCACCTGGATGAGGATGGGCATGGAGGTGATGATGAATGAATCAAAAGATACTGTATGTTCGCTGCTGCCAAACTATTGATCCATGCCTTCACTACTCCTTTATGGTACATTATCCAAACTCCTAAAAAGACTCCATTACATCCAGATCCCTGCTTCTCCCCCCATATCTCCCCTGTACTGCACAACATCCACTGTCCCTCAACAAATCCATTTTAAAATCCTCCTCCTCCTCACTCACAAAACCAGGCCCCCTCCTACCTCAACCACCTGCTCCACCTACACACTCCTTCCCACACCCTCCTCTGACACCACTCTCCACACAGGATCAAGCACTGGACCTTGGGGGACAGAGCCTTTAACATAGCTGGGGGAGGGAGAGAGGGAAGAGGAGAGAGTGAGTAAGAAGTTTGTTCTACATTATTTGAAGCATTTACATTTTTAGGGGAAGAACTCGACAGGACATCATCAAACACAACAGACATGGTGAGTGTGTTCTCATATTTTCACAGATTACCTGGTGGGTACACTAATGAAAACCATTACTGCTCCATTTTGATATGGACAGTGCAAATATTAGGCTCCTTTTGTATGAGTAGGGTTATAAATATGAAAGGTAAGCAAATATTTTTGCAACTTTTTGCTGAGTGAATTTTACCAGTAGCCATATCAGCAATATTAAAGCAACATTATGTAACAATGATATATCTAAGAAGGCTTACATACAGCCTAAGAGACTCTTCTGAGCAAAATGCTAGCTCAGATAATAACTATTTTAAGAGGTTGAAAGCTAGCGAAGCTTCACTGTGTCTCTGAACTCTTCTGTTAGCTCCATATGGGATTTGGTTAACCATTGCACATTACTTATAAAAGTAAATTAGGGGGAATGTATAGCTCTCCAGGATAATATGCTAGCTAACATAGTTTAAAGCTACTGTCTATTAGCAGTTTCTACTCTTCCAGAGTTCATTGAAGGTGTACAGCTAATAGCCTCCTTTATGTTTCTCTCTCAAGTTGCCAAGGCTTAACAGGGTTGTTGTATTTCTTGAAGCATTTTCACTTGAGTGGCAATAAGGTTTAGCAGTATTCTATCAGAATCTGCAATAATTGGTAATATAATGTATCTGGCAAAAATGACAAATCCATGAGAGAAGGCTCAGGAGATTTGGGTTCTGGACCTGTTTATAGGGCCGTGTATGGGTCCAGATAAAGATGGTGTATTAAATTGATAATTTGTGACATGAATGGAACTTGTGAACAGATGAAGTGTGTTCTCTTCAGTACGGCTTCATCAACAGCTGCATGCAGTCTCTGGTGATGGAGAAGTTTGGTCAGGAGACCTGGGATAAACTGAGGTCAGGGCACTCACACACATTGTGACAATTGTGATGATGTCTATTTTACCTACCAGTTTAGATAAAGGTTACGGTCTTTCCATAGCTCCCTACCAGGGGTTCCGGATTCCTTCATGACGTACACGGTGTATGACGATGTCCTGACCGTCCGCCTGGTGCAGGAGGCCTCCTCACTGCTGGGTAAGAGTTCAAATCCCTCTGTGCCCTTCTGTTGCTTTTTGAGATATCCTGTTGAGTGTAGCGTCAAATGTGTTTTAACTCATTTGACAGCAGAAATGAAAGAGCAAGACTACGTAAAGACTGCTTTCAACAATTCTTTTAAATGATATGTCTTTGCCACTTAAACCATTTAAAGATGACTTGATTGACAGCTTTAAGCAGTTCCAGTTTTTGTTATATCAATGGATGTACAGAGAACTATGACTAAATGAATTTGCTACTTCAAAATCTGAGGATATTATTTGATTTATAGATATTTCTTTGCAATGGAAAACAGAGGTAATCATGTCAAGAGGTGGTATGAACATTCTGAATGATATCACTATTTGATTCATGTGTTTCCCAGTTGTTACTCCAATAATATTTCACACTATAATGAAAATATAAGCATGTTGATGTTTGAGGTGTCTGTCTGTGTCAATGTTGACAATGTCCCCAAAGAAATCTAGTTAACACTCAGTTTATATGGCTGCATGCACCAACACTTTCAAATATAGTGAAATTGTAAAATGATGCCTTTTTTTTGGCGGCTTTCTTAATAATACTGAAAAGCATTACATGTTACACTCCATAGGAGTTATTGTGTAGAGAGCATGAGCACACCAGTGAAGTTGCAGGTCTTTTTTTATTGTAATCCTATGTAAAAGATTATATTAGACATATTTGTTATAATGTAATTGAATTAACTGAATTTATCGCCTAAATAAACATTTTCTAAAGTAGAATAGTTTGCATTACAACTGTTTCTACATGACAGTTACATGACTTATTTATACATGTACAAATCATATCTGGCAGTGACTTTGATAGATGATTCAACGTGAGTCCCCTGGGCACAGATGTGTCGAAGACAACAAGAGTTGTTAATTTGGGGCATGTCAACATCTACTCCCAGAGCTCTGATTATCTGGACTGTGCAGACTTTTGGGAATATTTTCTAATTGAATACCTGCTTGCTGTAGTAACATAAACATGTGCACTGGGAGACCTGAGTGTGACACGCTAAGGGATGTTTTGTTATTTATCCTCAAAGATTTGTAACCGTGGTCCGCTGTATGTGTTTCAGATGTCTCCGCTGAAGTCTTGCTGAAGCTTTTCGGAGAACATTTCTTTGCTTTCTGTAAGAAAGCGGGCTATGACACCATGCTGAGGACACTGGGAGGAAATCTGACAGAGTTCATCGGGAATTTAGATTCTCTCCACAGTTACTTAGCGCTGTCCTATGAGGTAATGTGGCCAACGACTCTTCATGTGTACAAAAAAACAACCAGACTTTATTTAGTATAATTCTATTATGAGTTAATTGGAGAGAACTTCTCTTTATGTCCAGCATAGTAGTTGAGGATCAGAGATGCTTCTGTGCCAACCATCCATATCATATATAACAGGCATTGCTTGAACTGAACTTCATAAAGACAGCTTTTATTTTTCTGTTTGTTGTTGTTTTTGGTTTTAAAGCAAATGAATGCACCGTCTTTCCGAGTGGAGATGACGGACGATGGGAAGATGCTCCTTCACTACTACTCCGACAGGAAGGGCCTGTACCATATTGTCCCTGGTAACATCAACCACACTTCCTCAATACAATGCAGAGTGATATATTGCAAAGACAGAGAACAACACCTTTTGAACAACAACATCTTTAAATGTAAACAGTGTTCAATATTCTTTGGAACAAGTAATCCCAACATCTAACAGCCCTCACATGTTGTTCCTCCTTACAGGTTAACTTGCTTGTTTAACCAGGAATTACTGGTGTATAATCAGAACGAATGCCATCTTAACCATATCTCACTTCTTTACCTTCCCCTTCCTCACATTGCTGCAGGTATCATGGAGGCGGTTGCCAAAGACATTTTTGATAGCGAAGTGACCATGACCATTATCAATCAATCAGAGGAAGATGAGCGGACGGGGAAGAAGGAGCATGTTGTGTTCCTGGTCAAACAGACGAATCACGTCAATCATAGAGGGGTGGGTGATAGTTAATGTTCTTTCTCTTTAAGACCTTTACCCCTAAACCTAACCCTAACCCCTAACCCTTAGGCACAATAAGACAGCCAGGTGGTGTGTCAATGGCAGTTATTGGAAAGGAAGCAACTAGGGAAGCCAAAGTTGGTACACATGAGCTGTGGGAAGATAAAATCACGTACACAAAGTTTGGTGACTGTGCCACTTACCCTTTGGGAGTTATACTGAATGAGAGCCATACCATTTTTGCTACAATGTGTGTCAATGACAGCTACATCGAATGAGGAGGCTAGAGGTGCCAAACGTGGTACAAAAGAGAGGAGGGAGAAGACCATCAGACAGTCAAGACTTCAACACACTAGCCCCCACCCTACGAGAGTTATATAAGGAACGCAATTTTTTTTATCTTGTTATCTGTAAGGGTTTAGCACGAAAATTGGACCCGGTGCAGTGAACAAATGTGATGGTAGACAAAAAACAGACAGGAACAATCATGGGAACGGCGACAAACTGTAAAGGGAAGACAAGACACAGCTGGGAAGGGGGGCTGAGACACAGGGGCAACAGGTGAAGGCAATAAGACAATCAGACAGGAGGGAAAACACAGGAAGTAAGACACAAGGAGAGAATACATTTCAAAGTAAAACAGGAACTATAAACACAGAACTGAAATCATGACACTATCACCCCTGAATCTAACCCGATGTGTATTTGATTCCTGGCCCACCCTTTCTCTGTGTGGTTTCCCCAGAAGGCGTTACCAGGAACAACGATGGAGCGCTGTGTGCCACTGGCTGGGGGAAAGCACAGATTGGACCTGACCAGAGCTGTGGTTCCCTCAGACCAAGGTTTATTTTACAAGATTAAAAATAGAAGTTTGAACATAGGCTAATCTACAGTCTTTGCTCTATTCACCATGTTCAGATAAAGGAGGGTATGTTGCAGTAATTAAACTGAGTGTGTTTGATGTACACCCCAGGAAGCCTCCTGTGCACCTTCAGTCCACGTTACCCCAACAAGCTGTGGGTGGACGAGAAAGCTTTCTGCAATGCCTTTCCCTTCCATATCGTCTTCGATGAGAATGTAAGGATGTGTGTGTTTTTTTGTTAAATCAGATTCATTAGCACAATATTTGGTACCTTGCCACCTATCTGTCTTTCTCTGTTTCTGCTCTGTTCAGCTGAAGGTAAGGCAGACAGGCGTGAACATCCAAAAGTTTCTCCCAGGTCTCCATGCCAGAGATCTAACGTTGGACCAACACTTCACCATTATTCACCCACAGGTAAGTCACAGAGCCAAGAGTTTAGAAATGTACAAACGATAGTGGCAGTACAATAGGTAAGAGACAGTGAAATCCACTATAGGGCAGCTATGCATCTTAAAGGTCTCCTATATCACTCTTTTTCATCAATATATCATAGCTCTCAGAAATATACAGAACATGTCTCTGAAGTTTTTGTCTGAAACACCAAACAGATCATTGCAGTATCCCTTAAACCCCTCTGTTTCAGCCCTGTTCCAAACGTGCTGATTCTGGGTCTTAAACTTTTAATGCTAATGAGCTGCTGTTAGCCACGCCCCTCTGAGGAGTTTAACAAAAAACTCAATGGTGCTCTAGGAGGAGATTCAGGGGATAAGGTGGGTTGGGGTTACCTTGGTTGGTTATTGGCTAATGGTTGCAAAACCCAAACAGAATTGTGGACACAATCTGATCAGATGATAGTTTTTGCATAATAGGTGACCTTTAAAAGACTCGCAGAATGTGTGCGGGACATTTCAGTACCACTTTGTATCTAATGGTTAAACGCAGTAGAATAGATAGGACAGTGTGTGGTGTATCGTTCAGCATCTGTCTTTATTCTCCAGGTGACCTTTACCATCGAGAGCATCAGGAAGTTCGTCAACAGTCAGTTTGTCTTGAAGAGCAACAAAGACAAACACGGCAGTCTGAAACTGAGAGGTGGGTTCTATTTTTCATTTCATTTCAAACCTTTATTTATGCAGGTGAATCCCATTGAGATCATTGATCTCTTTTTCAAGGGTGACCTGCTGGGGGTGCTGGTTTTTAGAACAGCACCCCCCACACAATCTATAAACACCATGGTTAGCTGTGTTATCATGGCTGGGAGGGCTACTTTAAAAATGGGAAAATAAATAACAATAACAGGAGGCGTGTGGTGCAGTGCATTGTGCATTGGTGTTGGGATCAGGGGGTCACAGGTTCAAACCCCACTGCAGTCAGCATGTCGTTGTGTCCCTGAGACGCTTCACCCCAAATTGCTCCTGTGGGGATTGCCCATAGTATTGAGTATGTAAGTCGCTTTGGATAGAAGCGTCTAACAAGTTACATGTAATGTAACATGGCTTTTATTTGTATTATTTAAGACAACAGAACAAGGTAACCTTAAAAAAAAGAAGATATTTAAAATAAAAAATGAGTCATAATAATACATTACATTTATACAGCGCTTTTCTGAGTACTCAAAGTCGCTTTACAGCAAGTAATCTCCTATTTTAGAGATGTAACAGTAATCTGATTACCGTTAGTTTTTTTTCTTGTCCAACTACAAATGAAAAATAAATAAAACGTGTGCTTAGTTGAGTTGGATTATTGTTTGTGGACTGGAAAGGAATATGTTTTGACCTTGCCAGGATTTTGAGTTGTGTCTTTGATTATGAACTGGTCATTCAATGTGTAGGGTGCACATTGTAATTTGTGTGTAACTTTGTGAGGTTTGCTTTTAAACGTGATTCACCATGTCTGATACCTCAGATGTGAGGAGTAAGTAATGTCAGGAGAGAGAATCAAAACTCAACCTCAGACATTCAAACTGAACCCTGGTGAGGCTCACCACTGTGACAGAGGTAGCTAAATGTCCCACAGGGAATATCTGCGCTGCGTTCTCTCCACAGGCTAACATGAGCTCCTCTGGTCTGCAGGTCAGATGCTGTGGATGGGGTCTCTCGGCTGCATGTTGTACATGTGCTCTCCAAAGCTGCGGAGCCTCCAGGAGCTCCAGGATGTGGGCCTCCACCTGGCTGACCTGGCCCAGCACGACGTCACCAGAGACCTGGTTCTCCTCAACCAGCAGCGCCTGGCTGAGATGGAGCTCACCAACCAGCTGGAGAGGAAGAAAGTACGAACGCAGTCTAAAGTCTAAAATAAAGTCTGGCTTGTAGATTAGAAGTCCTTTTCCCCCAAAAAAACACTTCATATGTTATCTGTTAAAACATACAAACATCTGTTTATATAACCTCCCTCATACCTCCCATTATTACAGTATGTCATTCTACTGTACAGTGTTTCATTTTATATTCAGTTCACATGATGTTTATATTCTATGTATTCTATCATTGAAAAAAAATTCTTGCACTATTCTATTTCCTTTTTTTAGGTTTTTCTGTATTTTGCATATTACTGTAGGTTGTGTATATGACAGTTGAAACTTGAACCTATGGATTTGTAGTAAAACAATCTACTCTGAATGTTTTACAGTCCAAATCTGTACATGTTATGCTTTTCACAGGAAAATAAATATGATGTTTTGCTTGTGTTTGTCTCTAGGAGGAACTGAGAGTGCTGTCGCGCCACCTGGAGGTAGAGAAGGAGAAGACGGAGACTCTGCTGTACGCCATGCTGCCGCGACACATAGCCAATCAGCTGAAAGACGGGAAGAGCATAGAAGCGGGTCAGTCCCTCAGTCTCAGTATAATCCTGTCTGTACAAGTTTAATCATATAGCCCAATATCACACACCTATCTCAAAGTGTCTTCTCTGTCCAGGGGAGTTTGAGGTGTGCACCATTCTGTTCAGCGATGTGGTGACCTTCACTGACATCTGTGCCGCCTGCGAGCCAATCCACATCGTCCACATGCTCAACTCCATGTACTCCAAGTTCGACCGGCTCACCACCATACACGACATCTACAAGGTAGAGTTTTTATTCTCACATTCCTAAAGGGCTGTCACACACTGAAAAGCACACCTCCCGTATTTAGCCATCCATTAATGACCCTTACCTTAGGGTAATGGCAAGGTTTCTGACACCCAGAAAGCTAATTTCCTATAGCTGCAGCGCAAAAATCTAGCTTTTATTGAAATCTAATAAGGATTTACCTTTTATGTAGTTAGACTTGGAGTTAGATGCCATATATTTACAAAGAATCTCGCTGTTTTAATCAGATTTCTTTTTAAATCCTTCCATACCTTTTTTTTTTTATTATTGTAGCTTAAGTTACTCAAAGCCAAATATTTGAATAAGATGTGTTATTTGTTTGGTTTAAAAAGTAGAAGGACTGTATCCGGAGATAGACTTATTCAATTTGTTTTAATTATAAAATATAATGAGCAACATAGGATAAACGTTTTGGTGAACATGTTTCAGTTCATTGCCCTTCTCATATATACAGACCTAGAAGACTTCTTTAAAAGACTCCGCAGCAAGTGTTCATTTATTTTCACACAGCTCAAATCAAATATTGGGGTTTCCTGTTTTCAGGTGGAGACAATTGGTGATGCGTACATGGTGGTGGGGGGCGTCCCGGTCCCCATGGTAACCCATGCTCACAGAGTGGCCAACTTTGCCCTGGGCATGAGGATAGCTGCCAGAGAGGTCACTAATCCTGTAACAGGCACACCCATTCAGGTAGGATTGTGCTGACAAAGTGGATTTTGCTCATGTATTCTCCTTTGTTAATTAGCCTCTAATGTTAAATACATTTCAGTCTTATATTACCCAGATAAACCTATTGTTAATACCTAGCGATAACCTGGTTATTATTTTGGCAATTAAACATGGTATTCATTTATTTGTTCCTCTTTGTTTTAAACCGTTACAAGCATTATAACCATCTTATGTCCTAACTGTTTGTAAAATGTTTAATAACATTTGACAGCAGCAGGATCTGTACTGTCAAAACATTAAAGGGAATGAATGGAGTGATGAATGTTCAGTGTTTGTATGAATGTGGTATAATTGTTGTACGTGTATTATGCAAACCACTACACAGTCATGCTAATTCAGTCCATTAGATAAAGCCTAGACGCAGTGTAGACACATGGAGGTATTCTATTCTCCCATAAATACATGAATCATGATTTACTACAGGATGTCACACTTGTGTAGCGCATCACCCCCACCCTCATCCATCTTCACTGGCTGCCGGTCAAGGTCCGGATTCGGTACAAAACACTCCTCCTCACTTACAAGTCTCTCCATGCCCTCGCCCCCAAGTACTTATCGGACCTCCTCCATCCCTACACTGCTTCTCGGAGTCTGCGGTCCTCAGACACGGCCTGCTCTCCATTCCCCGCTCTCGCCTCCGAACTGACAGGGCATTCAGTGTTGCGGCCCCCACCATCTGGAATGCACTTCCTGCAGAGATCCGCAATGCTGCTTCCCTGGACATCTTCAAGTCATCATTAAAAACTCACCTGGTCACCCTGGCCTTTGACCCCTAATCTATCACAGTCCCCCTGCTTCCACTCCTACTGCTATTTATTAAATGTTTTTACTTTATTGTTTGCCCCTTTTGTTTGTTTGTTTGTTCACTATGTAAAGTGGCCTTGGGTCCCTTGGCGCTATACAAATTGTATCTATTATTATATGTGCTTACATGGTGTGTGTGTGTGTGTGTGTGTGTGTGTGTGTGTGTGTGTGTGTGTGTGTGTGTGTGTGTGTGTTTCAGATCCGTGTGGGTCTGCACACTGGTCCAGTGTTAGCGGGGGTGGTGGGGGAGAAGATGCCCCGCTACTGCCTGTTTGGAGACACAGTGAACACGGCCTCCAGGATGGAGAGCCACGGCCTCCCTGACCACATCCACCTCAGCACGTCCACATACAGGTGGCTGTTAATAATTGGTGGCTTTCTCTAATATTTTGTGTGGGATGCACTGATGACAGGGTGTCCGCGGGGTCTTAAAAAGTATTACAAGTTGATAAGTCAGTTCAGCGAAAATTAAGGCTATTAAAAAGTATTAAAAAGTATTAAACGGCATTTTCCAAGGTATTAAGAAGGTCCACAGCAATGACAACATGAAACACCTTTTAATTGACTGCAATGACATGTCGGGAAACCCCCTCAAGGCGGCCCCATGCATAGCGCGCCGTAAAATGCTGCTTCTAATTTTAAAGGTGACCTATCGTGCAAAATGCACTTTTGTACATCTTTTATACATGAATATGTGTCCCCGGTGTTCCAGGGAACTCACCAAGTGTCAGAAAACACAACCCTCTCTCTTTCCCTCCATACCATAGACTGTATATATAAATGGACGTAGTGTCCTTGACCTCACCCATAGGATTCTGCAGAGTTGCCGAGAAATCCTTAGTAGGCGGAGTCGGCCACTAACGGCTCGACAGTGACGTCAGAGTTCAACTCCCGCCTTCTCCAGCCTGCTCCAAATAAGGGCAAAGAGGTGGAGCCGAGGCGGGACCTGCTGCCTCCGAACTGGAAGTAAACAGAGCTAGCTCAGGCTAAGAAGCTAAGCTAACATGAAATACATGCATACCAAGTTACTGCTAAGAGTGTAGTTCCCCTATATAAACGTTACATTCATAATCAAATGAGACAATCTGCAAGAGAATTAGCTATATTTTGTTATTCTTAATGCTTGTCATTCACACGTTGAAAGAAAATAAGTACCGATACATAGCAGAACAATTGTGGCGATGTTCAGCTTAATAAGCCTTGTTCAACATAATTTATTTAGCTAATACTACAGCAGGCGAACCAAGTCTGCGTTTGGCTGCATTCCTTGATCTCCAGTTATAACGACGGACAACACCGCCCGGCCCCGGACCTAACGGAGCCATAGTGGGCTAGCTCCGGGACGCCGGCTGGAGCTAGCCCCCNGAAAACCCTGCGGCCTGTCGAAACCTAGCGGTTGAGCTGGTAGCCGCTAAGCATGTCTCCAGGGACAACCCCGCGGGGGAGCTTGGTTCGTTCCGCGTTGTTTTGAATTTCACCTGATAGCCGGCCGCGCGCGCGGATGAATTATTCATAGTCGCGCATCCTGGCTGAGGATTGGATACCGGGCCCGCCTATCGTATAAACTAAAATAAAACAGTTTTTATCGTTTTCGTCTAGGTACCGTAAAATCGAAGGGTAAAGCGAGGTAAATTGTAAGCACACACACACACACACACACACAAAAGCCGCGGCGTTTAAGTCCCGACTCTCCCGATGGCCAATCCGTGCCTCCCCTGACTGCACGTCGCTGACACGCACCGCTGCAGACTCTCTGCACGAAGGAGCAGCGGAGTCCGGCCGATGCTGCTCCTCCAAGGAAGAGACACACGTTCACTAAGACGAACTATGTCCTGTCACAGTGATCTGCTATTTTAAAGTAAAGTCAACACATATCGACCCTAAATATAGTCTATATTAAGAACGAGAAAAGTGTTAACATAGGCTATATATCGTTTTTTGTTTTATCTCTTGGGAACAAAGCCTAAATCAAAGGTTCATTTTTCTAATAAACCTTGCATTGGGTTAGTCACACAATTCATTATCTTGTGCTTTGTTCTATCTGAATTATGATAAGGAGTTATCACAAGCTGTTTAGTTCTGCTATCTTACAATCAATACTGTATATAGTAAATGTGAGGTAAAGTGTGTCGCCAATGTAACCGGTTAAAACTCGAAGTGGCGATGAGGTCTTAAAATGTATGGAAAGGGTCTTAAAAAAGGTCTTAAAAGGTATTAAATTTGACTTCAGGATTTCTGGATGAGACTTTTTACTTAATCTTACTGCCACAATAACTGTTAGTGTTATCTTTATCACATACAGTTTTTCTGCAGAAAGGTGAAACGTTCATGGAACATTATTAATGATAAACGTACTTTGTGACTATGCACGAGGCTCTGTAATACACTCGCAAACCTTCTTAACCTGGACAGTTTTAATACACAGAAGCAGGACTGCACATCCCCCGGTGTAATTGCCGCTCTTTTTTCATTGCAGATTTTCTCCTACTGTGTTTTCCTATATGTTTTTAACTCATTCTTGGTTTCCTATTATTTGAGCAATGAGCAAAACACACGTCCTGAATTGGGTTTTGGAGGTAGAGGATGCTTAAAAACTGTGTTCAGAGAAAACACGGATGATTACAGGGAAAATATGTTTCTGTGAAAGTGGTCAGAAGTACAGAGGCAGTAAAGTATTTTGTGGATGTGCCCCCCCCCCCTCTGCAGTACACTGAAGGATGCTGGGTTCAACATCCAAGAACGTGGGCACATTAAGGTGAAGGGGAAAGGCCTGATGACCACTTACTTCCTGTTGGGGAATCCGTTGGTGTCAGAAGAATGCATCATGGGTAGAGAGGTCGGAGGGACCTGTCTTTATGGAGAGGACCTTCAGCTCCACAGAAGAACAGGTGAGGAACTACATTTAGAAAGTAATAAAAAGGTTGTGCAGTGTTGTGAAGTCACCAGGGTTGTACGGTGGAACTGGAAAAGTACATATGTAGGTTATCAAAACAAGTCTTTACGTATATAATAATAATAATAATAATAATGATACACTGACTTACAGATGTGACATAACATAAGAGTATTTGAATGACCATTATTTACCCCCATCGTAGTGTTTTACAAGTACAACGACTACTGACTGTATATAAAGTACTTTAAATAACAAGTATCATAGCAATAATAATAAAAATAGACTAATATATGATACCTGCATCAGTTTGTCTTTGTATATCTCATCAGTCCCTATCAAATAAACCATAAATAGTATAAATATAAGATTTTAAGCTTCAGACTCAGCGCCCTGTAGTGATGAGCTGAACACACAGCAGCTCTATACACTGGACTGGAGCATCTGTGTAAGGAATATTTACTGAAGTAAAACAAAAAAATACTGAGTTACAAGTTAAAGTAATGCATTTAAAATGGTTCCTAAATAAAAGTATGAGCACAACAAAATACTTAAGTGCTAAAAGTAAAAGTATGTGTTATGCAAAAGGAGCATTTTAAGCACCAGATAAATTATTTTATTAAATGTATAAAAATGATTGGTGCATTAAAGTGTTCATCTCTTCAAAGTTGCACTTGTTAATGTGGATTTATTTGAATTACTTTAAACATTACTAGGTAGATTAACCTATAAGAATATATATTAATGTGTGTTGATTTATATTTTGTATTGTAAGTAACTAAATGTGTAAAATAAATGTAGCGGAGTAAAGAGTTGTAAAGTAGCTTAATGTGAAAATACTCAAGTTATAAAATACTTTGTTGATAGGAAACATGAATGAACATTATTGGCTCTATATGGCCCAATGGGGAATGAAACTATATAATGGATGTCTGACATGGAGTAGTGAGATGAGAGAACTCCATGTATGAGTTTATTCAATCGTGAAACTTAAAAAACAAATAATTTTGTATTCAGAGTCAGTCAAAGAGCCTGACGTGAGAACTGACACTGTGGGAAGAGACAACCCCCCGGACCCCAGCCGAGAATCCACCCCTCCCTTTGCCTGGGACATCAGCCCTCCATATCAGACCAAAGAGAGCTGCAACACATCTGGAGGAAGTCACAACAGCAGACTCTGTGTCCTATTCTGACGGAGGACCCCTGAACCTCTCACAGCTAACTGTTTACTTTTAGAGGTGGGTGACATCAACACAACTGCAACCCCCCCTGACACCATGTTACACCGTCAGTGATCAGATCAAGCCCCTCCACACTGCAGCTAAGTAGCTTAGTGTAAATGAGAAACAGAGCCATTTACAAAGTGCTTTTCCAGTCCACACACTGTTGATCATCAGGAGCAACTTAACTGAGTCATTTAGAACACATCTTCATGTTGACTTCAGGAGCTGGGATCAAGCTTGTTACCCACAATTATCTTCAGTTATTGACTCAAACCGAGCTAAGTTTGATAATCAATAATAAACAAATATGATACATCCATCTAAAATGTATAACTGTACCTCATGAAACAGTTGAAAGCTCCAAAGTGTAAGCAACAAGTTGAAAAGGATTTGTGTCAGGGACCGAGCAGTGAGGCAACAAGAACACTGATGCTTAAAGAAAGGGAGTCTTTATTTACACAAAACCTTTTAAAACAGAAGGTCAACATAAATCCTACCTCAGCCTTCTTCTGGGGGAGACAGTGATTTTAAATTAGGCCACATGACAGAGAAGATTTTTCAATAAAAATATGAACATTAAATAAGACACTTTTTGCCGCCAGGATCACTGCGTGGAGCTGCACTGACACCTGCTGGACACGCACTGGCACTGCAATATGAAAAAACAATGAAAAACAATATTCATATTAAATAAAGGAATTATCCAAAATCCAATATAAAGAGGTGTGTCTGCTGTGTTCAGGCTAGCATTAATTCTTTAATTTGAGTTGAAGTTATTAGGTCACATGACAGAGAAGCTATTGAAAAAATAACATAACTTACATAAAAATAACACAATGATTTTCAATACAAACATTAATATTAAATAAAGTAAAATCCAATATACAGAGGTGTGTCTGCCGTGTACAGAGTAGCATTCATTTCTGAGAGTGATTTGAAGTTATTAGGTCACATGACAGAGAAGCTATTGAATGAGTATTAATAGTTAATAAAGGAAGTACCAGAATCCAATATACAGAGGTGTTTCTGCCGTGTACAGACTGCATGACAATGAAGCTCAACACAGCTGCTGACAGAGGGCAGAGAACACTGCTTTATATCATGTTAGAAATGGCTAGAAATGGCACATAAGCACACGAGTAATGGACACACACACACACACACACACACACACACACACACACACACACACACACACACACACACACACACACACACACACACACACACACACACACACACACACAGAGATACGTCCATCTGACTTGAATGTAAACTGAGATTGGACAGAGAGACAGACTCCTCTGCTCTCATTACACCTCGGGGTGCATCAGCACGTTAATCAGTCGTACCTAAAGGTCACATCACAAAAGACAGTGTCTGCCAGGAAGAGAGGGCACTGACTGTAATTCATCATGGCAGCTCAGCAGTGAGGGAACATTTCTACCTAATAAAGAATCAATAGACTCGCCATCTGAGTGCTGAATCCTCAAACACAGAAACCATATATAACATAAAACATCCTCATCAGCAGCCCAATCAAATTATTTATTAAAGCGCTGATGATGCCTTCAAAGCTCCTTCATAAGTTTGCAAAGTTATATCTGCTGAATGCTTATCAAGACATGTGTGTAATCAATATGTTTGATGGAGTGCTTTACTGTTGCTCTTTTTATTTTATATATACGGTACTTATGCTTCACCCATAAATACAATCTTAATCTACATCTCTATTCTCAAAACTCCTATTTGGCTTTAAGTCATAAATACATATTGATGACCAGTATGCTTACTTAAAGGTGACCTATCATGCAAAATGCACTTTTGTATGTCTTTTCTACATGAATATGTGTCCCCGGTGTTCCAGGGAACTCACCAAGTGTC